CTTGGCTTCTTTGTCAAGGGTTCAAGCTGCTAATGCAGCAATATTGTAACTATTCCCCCATCCCCCAATTTCCCACTAGTCAAAAAAAAAAAAAAAAAAAAAAAAAAAAAAAAAAAAAAAAAAAAAAAAAAAAAAAAAAAAATTTTAAATTGAAATCACATGATATAAAAATTGAATGAGTTAAAGTATAAAAAAATTAAATTTTATTATATAACCTAAAATTTAAAAAGAAATACAAAAGTTGGACTTTCCATATCAGTAAAAAGGCTTACATTCCAATAATGGAGATGAATCTAATCCATAAAAGTAATGAAAAAAATTTGTACGTGGGCAGTTGGACTAACAGTTACGTCTACACTTAAAAAAAATAAATTTTTTAAGTTGTGCTCTATAACTACAAGTTAAAATTATTTTTTTATAATAAAATTATATAAAAATATAAAAATAAATATTAATTTTAATATTAATATTGTGTAAATAAATTTAATTAAATAATTAATAAATTAAATATTTTTTTATTTTTTCAAAATTCTTAATCTTAATGCATAAATTCAAGAAACCTTTAAAAAATTTAGAGTTGCTTTTAGGCTCTGTTCTGTCGCGAATGGTAGGTGCGTTGCTGATCAGTTGTCGGACAAGGACAAGCGCCGCAATTTTATGTCGCTTTGCAAAAGGAATGATAATTGGGACGGTTCCCCAACCTGAACCCATGTAATGAAAATGACTTAACCCTTCACGTGGAATGATAGAAAAGACAACTTCAACTTCTAGATATTAATTGATTGAATTTGCTGTTTTACCATCGAAATACTTTATATTGTAAAACAATTTTTTAAAATTAATTCTATCAAAACATAAATTAAATGTCATATTAGTTAATTTTTATGTCAAAGCATAAGTTAAACTACCTAGATTAGTGGCACTTGCGGCCTTAGCCGTGATGGAAGTGCACCAATGTCCTTGACTTTTTTGTTACGAGTTCAAGCTGTCAGTGGAGTAATATTGTAATTATTTTTTCATCTCTCACGTTTATTAGAAACTAAAAGTCGCAAGAAAACGATCGGCTTCTCTCTCAATCTAAACAGAATCCCAACTACTTTTCTTTTTTTCAACGGCAGAATCCCAACTACCTAATATGCTACAAATTATTAACTACTCGAGTTCATCACGAAATCGAACGTTTTCAGCGCAAGGGCCGCGCCACTGCCAATTAAGACTAAAGATATTTTGATTTCAAAACATAAAAACAAACTACCTACATAGATATATTAGTCGAAGATAAGTCAATTGCAGTTCAAGTTTCTTCTTTTCAAATTGACAAGCGTGTGCGTTTTTTTTTTTTTTTTAACGTAAAATACAAGCAAGTACATTATACTATCATTTTTAACAATTGAATTTAAAAATTAATG